GTCGGGTCGCAGCCCCCAGGACGGCGCTCGGACGCGCTCCGAATACAGACACACGCACCCCAGTCACCAAAAAACTCACATCGCCAAGGTCCCGAGCACGCAGGCCAGGGTGCGCACGGCCAGAAAAACACACGCACACGCTACAGATAACTACGCACCTAGAAAAACCCTCGTGACGCGCCCTCAGACCCCTGACCACAAAGACGCGGGGAAACGCAGACACCCACTGCAACCCAGACACAGCCTACCTCACACTCACGCCGCGACACAAGTGCCCGTTATGGAAACAGCGGGGAGTGCCACATGCCCAGTCATGGGCACGCAGAGAGGCCCGCGCACATACGGTTATGAAACCCTGGGCCCGGCCGTCCACACGGAGGCACGTTCCGAGCCACGTGCACACCTGAACATGCGAGCCCCTGGTAAACATGCTGACGCCGAGCACATGTTCAGTCAATTACCTGCACCCCCCGCCCCACACACACACACCTGCATACGCAGTCAGGGCCTCGGTCGGGGCCTTAGTCGTGACGAAGCAGATTTCACACACTTGCACAGCCACACATCTGATATTCACAAACACACAACACCCAGGCCCCAGAACTTACCATCCACTGGCTCTTGGTTACACACTCACCTAAACACACTTACACAGTCACCCAGCGCACACGCTCACACCAATCTTTGCTCCCAGTGACGTGTGTGGGCAAGCTCACACGGTTGCTCTTCTCCCACGCACAGATGCACACAGGCACCCCGCACACGTTCCAGGCCCCCAGAAGCAGGGCGGGGGTACTCTGGAGAGGGCCTTTAGGGGCTTGGGCTGGGGGGTTGGGACCCCACCACAGACCTTCCTTCTGCAAAGAGCTCCTGGGGAAAGCCGGCCTGGGCCTCCAGCCTGACCCTCTGCAGGGCAGCCTCCTGCTCCCTGTGGGGATGTGGGAGGTTCAGGGCAGTTTCCGAGCTGCAGTGGGGGCGGGAGGAAGGGGATTGGAGGTGTGTAGGAGGTCAGGATCTTCAGGGGTCCTTTGTGTACCCTGCATTTGCATAGGTTCATTTACATACAGATCCAGGTGCGGTGCTCACTCAGGTCCCACCCGCGCCTGCGTCTTGGCCTCCCCTTTCCCACATTGCTGATGGGGAGGGGGTGGAGATCTCTGTCACTTTGAACCTTGGGGTGGGGGCCTTGGCCTTCCAGCCATCTCCCCAGGACCTGGAAGGTTTGAGGACACACTTGCTGACCTGAGGATCCACGGGATGGGGAGTCAGGTCCAGGTGAGCCCCCAGCACCCGGGTCCTAAGGCCCTATGTCTGAACTGGGGTGGGCAGAGACTGGCTATTTCTTGGCGGGCTTTCCAGAAGCTGGAGGGAAGCCCTCACCCCCTTGGAGAAGGTGCCCCTTCTCTGGTATTCTCTGCTGAAGACCCAGAAAGCGGGGCGGGGGGGGGGGGAGGCACCCACTTTATGCCCCTGCCTTTCTGTTATTCCCAACTCCCATGGCCCCTTCTCAAGGGAAGAAGCTGAGTCCAGAGATGGAAAGTGTTTTGCCCAAGGCCCCTGGCTCAGTGAGAGTGACCGGAGGCCCAGGCCTCGAGACCCACCTGTCCACTGCACAGAGATGGCAGTAGCTTCCCCATTATCCCCCCCCCCTCCCCGCCACCTCTCTTCCCTCTGGGGACCCTGACCTCAGCCTCCAAAATTATCCTACCCAGTTCAGCGGGCAGCTCCAGAAGGCTGGGTCTCAGCCAGAAGCTAAGGAGGGGCAAGGGACCTCGGGCTCCGCAGCCCTGGGCGAGCGCCTTCCCCCTTTCAGATCTAGTCATGAGGTGTGGTGTGGGCTGCACCGAGCACCAAGGGGGGCTCCAGAGGCCATCAGTGCACCCCCACCGGGCGGTGCTTTCTCACCGCCGCCCTCCCAATTTTGGAAAGGGAAGGAGGCCTGGGCAGTGGCGTCCAAATGCCACAGGCTCGGCTGGAAAGGGCATTCCCTTGGCTGGCTGGCACCTGCCTGCTAACCCCAGCTCCATCCCCTGTCTGCTGAGGGCCCTGGGCCAGTCACTGCCCCTCAGAGCCCAGTTTCCTTGTCTAGAAACAGGGGTGCCACCATTGTCCCCAAAGGGAACTGGGGTTCTCGAGAGTAGAAAACCACTGTACTTACAAGGCCTGGCCCCTTCCTGCCCTTCTTCCAACAGCTGCCACCCGCCTCCGCCCAGGCGGCTGCGGGGAGCTGGAGGAGGGGCGGGGCTTTCGGAGGGCCTCTCCCCAAGCCCCCTGCCGGGCTGCCCTGGGAAGGGGGCCTCCGCCCTGCGGGACCTGGGAGCCTGCAGCTTTCTGTGGCTTTGCTCTGGTGTCAATAAAGCGTTTGTAAATTCAGGAGACCAGAGGTTTCTTTTCAGCGAGCAGACAAGAGAAGGGGTAGCTCCGCGGCGGTGGGGAGGAGAGGTTCGTGATTGTCACAGGCTTCAAGGCTGCACAGAAAGCATGAAAATGCCAATGGGGTCCCTTGGGGAGAAGTCGGCACCGTCTGCTGTTTGCAAGCAGACCCTGGGGGCTGGGGAGTGCAGGGCTGGAGGAGTCAGGACAGACAGATGCTGCTCTATCTGTGCCCTCCCCACTCCCCTCCCCTCCCCCCCCCTTTCCTCTCTGCTCCAAAGTCCAAACCTCTGGGACCCCAGGAGGAGCAGGTCGCCCCCACCCTCCACACCGCATAGCTTGGCAGGTGGTCTACACAGGTAGCTGGGACTAGCCCTGCCGAGCGTGGGGCCGGATTGGACCCCAGGCCTGGGCTTCGGTGGGGCCCCGCCCCGCCCCTCCCACCGCAGCCAGAACGTATACTGGGCTCCTATCCAGAGGCCAGAGGCCAGAGGCCAGCTGGTTGGACAGCAAGGGAGCTGGTGATGGGTGAAAGTTTTCCAAGGGAACCAGGGAAATGCTATCTCCAGAAGCTTTATCTCCAGCCCTTCTCCAAACACTCCAACCACCCAGGCCCATACCAGACCACCTCTCCCTTGATTAAGGACAGGATGCTGCTCCCGGAAGCCCAGCAGGACCCAGCTGGAAGGCTCAGAGGCCAGTTAGTCCTGGATGTGCACAGCAGGGCAGCTGGGGGGCTCGCCCCCGTCCTTCTCTGCACCCCCACCCAGTTGAGAATCTCCAAGCCTAAGGCTGGGTTTTGGAGGTCTCTACACTCCCATTTGGTCCCGTCCTAGTGGGACATTACACAGTCAGGGAAACTGAGGCCCAGTGAGGACCCACCGGAGTGTTTGTTTCCTCTCCCCACTTCCTCCTACCTAACACCCTGCATTTTCCACCCTCCCTTCCAGGGAGAACTCAGGTCCCCTGGTCCTGCCTGAGGAGACGCAGCTCTTCCCGAAGGGGCTGCTCATTTACTGGGGTGGTGTGAGATATCCCAGACAGTGGGCAGGGAACGCTGCACCCGCATCCTGAGTTAGGGGTACACAGACAAGCAGCGGGGAGGTGCCTTTTCTGCTCCCTCGGCTTCTGCGTCCAGCCCAGCCCCATAGCAGAGGCCATCTGTCTGCTCAGGCCTCTCCCAGCGGGACTTGTGATTGCAGGCCCATTTCAGAGATGAGCATGCTGAGGCTTGAAAACCCTGAGACAGCTGAGCAGGTAATGGATAGCAGAACTGGGGTTCAAAACCCGGTCCACTGGGAACTCAGGCACCAAGCTCTCTGCTCAGCCACACAGAGCTTAAGAGTGGGAGGCAGGGAGGATAATGGGGCGCCCCAGAGGGAGCCCCTGCCCTCCTGGCATTGTTAGGGCCAGCCCAGCCCTCTTGGGAGCTGTGAGGTTCCTGCACACACCTATGAGATGTACACACGGTGACTATAACCCTGATTCTTCTTTTGAGCTAAAGTTTGTCGGAGAGAGAAGTTTTTTTTTTTCTGCAGAGGGGAGGGGGCCAGAGGGTGAAGGTGGGAGGGATGTTGGAGGCGCACAGGTAGATTTAGGCTCAAGAGCATGAAGGTTTGGTTTCAAGTTCAATCAAAGAGAAGCCTCCTGCATGGAACCTGGAGAGGTGCCTGACAGCCCAGGCCCCACGGCGTCCTCCAGGCCTGGACGCAGGTCTGCATGTGGTGCGGGGGGAGAAAGAGTGGCTCCCGCCCACCTACCCTGGCCCAGCCACAGGTTCTTGGAAAAATACAAGAGGGAGTGGGGAGAGGGGGGAAGCATTGGTTTGAGACCACATTTAGTGTTGATTTCAGCGGGGTCGCACTTCTCCCCCAAACAGAACCAATTTCTCCCATCATAGATGGTAGGATTCAAAAATAGATTTTCTCGCTTCCTTCCTCGCCATTGGAATCGATGTGGATGTCAAGTTCACAAGTCTAATTGTCCACGTCATCAATCAAATTATCTCCTTAAAGGGCGCCACTGAGTCATGCTGTGCGCGTGGAGCTCTGGGGGTCTCTGGGGAGAAGTCATGACGGCTTCACGCCCCACTTCCACATCTTGTGGGTACACTCACCCCCCCACTCAAGAGGGAGGAAATCAGGACCCGGGGAAAAAGGAGTCTTTTCATCACTTAGCCTGTCAATGCAGGCTTTGGCAAAACGTACAGTAATTCTTCATTCATCAGAAATTCCCAGAAGTTAATTTTCCATAAAATGGAGCCACACCTCTTTAAATGCATTCTTTGATCTGCTTGGCATTGGCTGAGCTCCTACTGTGTGCCTGGGGCTCTGCTGGG